TCCTTGTACACACAGGTAAGAGAGGGAGAGACTTGAGGGAAATTGAATTCAACAAGAATTTTTGCTTGAAATTTAGAAGAATTGAAAGAAATTTTGAAGACTTGCCTACATTGCTCAAGGATTTGGCTTAGGTGAAGTTTGATTGAGAAGTGTAGGTAAGAGCTCAACCTTTTAATCTTGTTATTGAGCCATCTAGAACTTGTATATAAATGAAATAGGTGAATTCATGGGTTAATTGAGCTAGAATTTAAGGAAGTCAAGTGAATTCATGCATGCATGTCCATATCATGGAATTTTGAAGTTGTTTTCATGAAATTCTTACATGCATGCCCATATTATGGTTGTACTCTAGAATTTATCATGTTTTTGAGTTCAATCTTGCATTTGATCATGCTTTGGAGTTTTAGAGTTCATGAGAACTCATGCATGTAATGTTCTTGTAATGTTCATAAAGTTTTAATTGAAATTTGGTTCAATTGGCATACTTTGGGGCTTGATTTTATGAAATAGTCTTTAAATCATGAGGTATTATGAGTTTCTAAGTATTTTCAGAAAATTGGCCCAAAAGGATGAGTTTTGGAATGTTTGATCTGTGGTTTAAGCTTTGGAAGCAAATCGGGAAAATCCAAAATTTGGCTTTCTCGCTCGAGCGAAGGATTCCATGCTCGAGCGACTACCTTCATTTTCAGAATTTCGCTCGAGTGACGAAATGCTGGCTCAAGCGTAAATCGCAAGCTCTCAGGTTTTTTTTTGCGTGTGCAAACGCACGCTAGAGCGACGAGACCTATGCTTGAGCGATGAGCTATGTCTCACGCTCGAGCGAGCATCGAGCGAAGAATTTCAGCAACCAGTACTTTTTACATTTTTACAGATCGCTCGAGTGAGGAAATCTACGCTCGAGTGACCTCTCTCGTTCGGTAAGCTCGCTCAAGCGAAGGAGTCTACGCTCGAGTGAGACCCCTATTTTCAGCAAGTTTTGAAAAATGTTTTTAAGTACATTTTTGCATCCTCATTCCATCTTAGTCATTCCTAGGCCGTGCTTAAGGCATCATAATGAGGATAATGTTCTAGAACCACACCAAATCAAGTTAGGGGCTAAGTTATTAATCCCGAGTGTGTAATTTAGTGTGTATTCATTCTACAATTGTGTAGGTTTGACACCCAAGGACGCTGATTAGCCTGCCTATAACCAAGTAATCTGTGAGTAACAATGTTGTAAAGATATGTTCAATTATAATTGTTTTATGAATGATTGACTGTACTGCTTTCTGAAGTGACATTGTTTACTGAATGAATGTTTGTTTTATTTTATGAATTGTACTCGTGGTATCCATAGCAACTTATTGTTACTGTTACTGTTACTGCTACTACTACAGAGATCTCTGTCAATTCCAATGTTTGGAACTACTACTGTTTACTGTTTTGACGATCATCAACTGACTGTTCGGTCTATTAAAACCTACTGTACTGTTCTGCTATTGGATGTACCACGTATGACTGCTATGATTTCTAAATGACTGATATGGCATGAAAAATGAGTTACTGATTGAATAACTGATCTACTGATGCAAATGACTGTTTTAATTACTGAAAGGACATTCATTCTTGACCCCTTTACACATTTGTTATTCACTAGACGTTAGCTCACTGTTAATATTTATATGTAGGTGGCCAAGCACCAGACCAGAGCTAGAAGCGTTGGGTTAAGCTCATGTTTTGTCAAGCCAACCTTTGTGCCTCACTTCGAGGTTCCGAGTTTGCTCAAGCCAAGGCTGTCTTGGGGTGTTTCAGATTTACCCTTTTTGTCTCTGTTATTGTATCGAATGTTTAAGACTTGGTTGCACAGTTATGGTGAATGGATTAGGTCCCTAACCTGTATGTTATGTGTATCTGATATGTATATATGTTTATGGTTATGAATGCGGTTATGTCCGTAAAAGTCTTTTTCCATTCAGGTTTTCACAGCTCATTGGACATCTTTTTTCATTATTGATTAGCTTCTGCCAGGCCCTTTATATTGTATCATTGTCTTTACTGTTAAGCAGGCCTTTAGTAATCACGGATTACTGGCCGGTTACGATACTAAACCCTTAGGGGTGGGTTTGGGTTGTGACAGAAATCCAATTACTTTTCTGAATTACTGAACTCACACCCAATTCCAAGTTACGATTTTCGAATAGAAGTATCCCAAATGGACATGAAGACAATACACATAAAATACTCCTCACATAACCATATGAGACAAGTGACATCCTCCACAAAATAATCATCACTATGCATGAAACATATCAAGAGAACTGAGATAAAAACGAGAAACCCAACAACGCTTTTCCTGCATCAAGCATGGTAAGCCAATGATACACCTCTCCAATCAAACACGATAAGCCAATGATACATCTTTCCAATCAAATATGATAAGCCAAGGATATACCTTTCTAATACTCATGCCAATTTACCAGTCACCAGCTGAAAGGTAATGGTATCTCTGCCAAGTTCTCCAGGCGCTAACTAGAAGGTACTGGCACCCCATATTCTCTGCGTAGCTAATTCTCCAAGCGCTAGCTGGAAGGTAATGGTACCTCTTATTCTCGGTGCGTGCACATTTCCAACCATCACATAAATCAACAAATAAACATAATCCGAGTGTACTACATACACAAAAATCTATTCAATTAATACAAATAATTCTGAGCGTACTATATACACATAATCCATTCAACATCACAATGTCATCCTCCACCGATGACCAAGGACAAACCTCTAAGCATAAGTATTTAAATATACGTAATATGATAATCCAATACTTACTTGGCCTTAGGTCCAACAACAATGATAATAACAATAAGGTTTGAAAGCCCAACCTCATGTTCAAATCTAGATTTCCAACATGCCATGGCTTCTTTCTCTTTTCGAAATCAACTCTTTTGTTTTCCAAAAACAATCTTCAACATTTCAATAGAACCACATCCAAGGATTTCCAAGCCATAATCCAAATTAACTTAACATGATTATCCAAATAAATTTCTAGTACCATAATTTATTCACTCTTTATACTAACAACATAATAATCACAACTCAAACTATCAAAACACAATCTTTAATCAACTTTACCCCTTTTTAGTTTATTAGGTCAAATTATCAAAATTAGGGCTTTTCCTCTCTTTTCAACAGAAACAAGTTAAACTACCCTCCAATTAACCCAACAACAATCAATTTCACAATTTATACTTATTCATTCTACAATTGTGTAGGTTTGACACCCAAGGACGCTGATTAGCCTGCCTATAACCAAGTAATCTGTGAGTAACAATGTTGTAAAGATATGTTCAATTATAATTGTTTTATGAATGATTGACTGTACTGCTTTCTGAAGTGACATTGTTTACTGAATGAATGTTTGTTTTATTTTATGAATTGTACTCGTGGTATCCATAGCAACTTATTGTTACTGTTACTGTTACTGCTACTACTACAGAGATCTCTGTCAATTCCACTGTTTGGAACTACATCTGACGCTTCCAGTCAGGCCCCTCAGGTTATATATTATAGGTTGAGTGTCTGTTTCCGAATAGGTCATGCCCAGACTGTTAGGGGCAAGTTTGGGGTGTGACATAGATAGATATGATTATGAATGCTTTATGGATGGCTGGACAAATATAATTTGTTTGGTAACATGACACGGGAGTAATTCAAAAGAAATAGGTGTAATGAGAAAAATCTGTAGGAGTTTTGAAAAGGGTTTAATTTAAGGTTAGTTTTGATATTATAAAGGGTGTAATGAAAATTTTAATTTTTTTTCTTAATGATATAATGAGAAAATAAGTGTAAAGATATAAAATTATGGTGTAAGTAGAATTGCCCAATATTATTTTGTTATAATACCAAAATTACCTTTTTAGATATAGAACAAATAAAAAGATTAACACCTATAAAAAGATTAATTAGATAATATAACATTACATAATTTTATTTATTTTCTTTCACATAACTTAATCAAACAAGATAAGAGAAAAACTGATATCATTTAAATCTTTTTCCTCTCGTATCTATCCAAACAAATAAAAAAGAAATCACAATACGCATATTTGGTTTGATTTTAAAACATATTTTTTGAGAAAAAATTCTAAAAATATGTTTGGTTAAAAATTTTTAGAAAAAAAATTCAAATTCACTTTTGGCTCTACTATATATCAATAAATCACTTGTCACCTCTCTCATTGTCAATCACTTTTTCTCTCATACCTATTTATTTAACTACAAAAAAAAAATCAAATCATCTCAAATTTCAAAACTATTTTCAAAATATACAACTAAACAATTTTTCAAATTTTCTAAACTCTTTTCAAAAAAATTATTTTTTAAACAATATCAAACAAGATCAATAGAAGATATTGGGTCAATTACATTTTTACTCCTAAACTATCACCATTTTGTTTATGTAGTCCATAAACTATTAATTTTGTCTTGTTGGTCCCTAAACTATCACATTTTGATTATGTTTGGTCCAAATGGTAGATAACATCCAAATTGTTAACGACAAAGGTGAAAATGTGGTCTGCATGTGAGATTCAAAATTGGTAAAGGGGTAAAACAGACTTTTCGTCTATATATGTTGCCGGTCGTTCGCCCAGACCTCCGGCCAACTGCAATTTTTTTTTTTACTTGTTGGCCATTTTTTTTTTGAATATTAGTTAGTCACACCAGAACTTTAATATGATATTGAACCTGTTTCATAAACAAAAACACATCAACAACCAAATAATTAAAGTCATAAAAGCTAATCAACAAAAGCAACCAAGAACCACCAACCGCCACCCCACCAATTTTAAACAAAATAATCATCATCTGCATTCATGAAAATATTCTAGTTGATTACACAAAAGTAACAACACTTTAAAACTAAGCTGAATACAGTTTTTCAAGTTTTGCCTCTAATTGTTGTTATTACATCTCAAAAACTAGATAATATAAAGACATCATGAATGCACACAAAATAGGTAATGCCACACAACATATTTCAGCTTTACTGTGTTGACCCTCTCTTCTTTGATGTGCCACCCTTAATTGGAGTTGGCCTTTTGAGTAGATGGATTGACATCTATTGGCCCTTGAATGGAAGAGAGTGCAGATGGTGGTGGCCTCCTAGGTATTGCCTCTTGAGTGGAAAAGAGTGCAGTGGTGCAAGTGTTGTTGGTCTTCCACCCATTAGGCCTTCAATGTTGAACATTGCAGTTGGTGATGGCCTCCTTGGACTTGGGTCTTGAACGTTGAACATTGTAACTAGTGGTGGCCTCCTTGGAATTGGACCTTGAGAGTTGAATGGTGGTGGCCTCCTATACGTAGGACCTTGATGGTTAAATGTAGGTGATGTTTGTGAAGGCCACAGAGGTGGAGGCCCTCGATTGTTATTCCTCTATTATGAACACCAACAAATCTAACTTGAGGAAAACATTGGGAAAAAAATTAATTTAAA